AGAGGGGAAAGGAATCGTGACATTTTTTTCTTTTCCGTGAGAAGAGGGGGAAAAATTTGCTAGAAAAAAAAAAAAGTTGCTACTCCTGGCAGCCCTGTTAGTCAAAAGGGGATGTCAAGCGCTTTACAATACCTGGGATTGATGAGGCGGGCGGGCCAATGAGCAGCGCGCGGCGCCACCGCGCGCCCTTCGTTGGCGCGGCGGCCGCGGGAGGGGTGTGTGGGGGGATTGCCACCTCACCAATCGTCGCCGGCGTCGGTCGCACGTGACGCCTCCCCCTGCTCCCATTCATCAAGGGGGGGGGGGACGACGGTGTCGTCCTTTCAATTCATTTATCTGCAGGAATGATTGCTGCTATCAGTCTCGCGCTCACCGCCCGGCTGAGGAGGTGAAAGTTTCTCCCCAGGAAGATAAACCGCAAAAGACAATATTGTGCATGATTTGCGCCTTTTCTTTGCTTTTTCTCCCCCCGCCTTTTTTTTTTTTTCAAAAATAAGAGAGGGGGAAAAAGGGAGAGTGAAGGAGCGAGGACGAGAGCCTGAAAGGAGAGAGAGAGAGAGAGAGAGAGAGAGAGAGAGAGAGAGAGAGAGAGAGAGACTCTAGTGAAGAAGTGAGTGAGAAGAGGGGCGCGCTGCGCGAGAAGGAGACAGGGCGAGCAGTGGCGGCTCTTGCGCTCACATTCCTCTATGCCACAAATCCGGGAAGAAGTTTTATTGGGGGGCTGAGATGTTCTATGCCTTTCCCCGGGCAGCCTTGATTCGAGGCCCTCTCGGCAGAGACTGAGCGGCGAGAAAGTGCGAGCCCGCCGGCGCGGTTGGAGCGGCGAGCGCCGGAGCCCGCCTTCTACCGGCCGGCAGTCGTCCGGCTTGCCTGCCTTTGGCCCGGCGGGCGCCGGCTTGCGCCTGGCCACTGCCTGCTGGCTAAGACTTCGTTAGGTGGGTCGACTCCCCCTCCCTCCTCCTCTTCTTCCTCCTCTTCCTCCGCCTCCCGTTCCTCCTCCTCCTGATCTTCCCTCCTTGGCGGGCGAGGGTGGGGGGGGGCGGGGGAGGCCGGGGCTTGCCCCGTGCAGCCACGATGCTCCTGGACGCCGGCCCCCAGTATCCCGCGATCGGTGTGACCACCTTTGGTGCATCCCGGCACCACTCGGCAGGCGACGTGGCCGAGCGAGACGTGGGCCTGGGTATCAACCCGTTCGCCGACGGCATGGGCGCCTTCAAGCTCAACCCCAGTTCGCACGAACTGGCCTCGGCGGGCCAGACAGCCTTCACGTCGCAGGCGCCCGGCTACGCTGCTGCAGCGGCCCTGGGCCACCATCACCACCCGGGCCACGTCGGCTCCTACTCCAGCGCAGCTTTCAATTCTACGCGGGACTTTCTGTTCCGCAACCCAGGCTTCGGCGACGCGGCGGCGGCAGCTAGCGCCCAGCACAGCCTCTTCGCTGCTTCAGCCGGCGGATTCGGGGGCCCACACGGCCATACGGACGCCGCGGGTCACCTACTTTTCTCCGGGCTTCACGAGCAGGCGGCGGGCCACGCGTCGCCCAACGTGGTCAACGGGCAGATGAGGCTAGGCTTCTCTGGGGACATGTACCCGCGGCCGGAGCAGTACGGCCAGGTGACCAGCCCGCGATCTGAGCACTATGCCGCGCCGCAGCTTCACGGCTACGGGCCCATGAACGTGAACATGGCTGCACACCACGGCGCTGGCGCCTTCTTCCGTTATATGCGCCAACCCATCAAGCAAGAGCTTATCTGTAAATGGATCGAGCCGGAGCAGCTGGCCAACCCCAAAAAGTCGTGCAACAAAACTTTCAGCACCATGCACGAGCTGGTCACGCACGTCACGGTGGAGCACGTCGGCGGCCCAGAGCAGAGCAACCACATATGCTTCTGGGAGGAGTGTCCGCGTGAGGGCAAGCCCTTCAAAGCCAAATACAAACTGGTCAACCACATCCGCGTGCACACGGGCGAAAAGCCTTTTCCCTGTCCATTCCCTGGCTGCGGCAAGGTTTTCGCGCGTTCAGAGAACCTCAAGATCCACAAAAGGACGCACACAGGTATGGAAATTAATGTAAACCACTCTACCTCTCACCCGGTCGTGATTCCTGAGGCACAAACCCAGCCTTACTGGGGTCTGGGCCTCATGTTTCAGGAGTCAGGCAGATCTGATTTTTAGTCCGGGTCTTGAAAATATGGTCAGACAGAGAGCGTGGACGAGAAAGATCTAAGCATACAGGTTTTAAAATAAGGAATAAAAAAAAAATAATAAAACCCGGGAAGTCGAGACTGGCTTGACCCAGCTCTCGACAAGCTCCAATCCCGGAGAGGTGGCGCGTTCAGAGCAGCCGTGGAGGAGTCAGTTGCTCCAGCTACAAACAAATCTAAACTCTTGCTGGTGGCTACCCTCTCTGGCACTTTGCTGAGTCCTTTGGAAAAGGTGGAGGAAGTTGAGGTTGAATTAAAGGATGTAGAAACAGGAAGAAACAGCCGATGAGTGTAGTTGGACTAGGAAGTATAATTGGGATCTGAGGAGGACATCAAGTTTAAGTATATAAGACATAAATTTTACAAATGACGAGTTGGGATTGAGGAGTGAGACAGTCGGTGGAAGGTGCAGAAATCCTACTTGTCAATTACACAGCATAGAGACTGTTCTTAAAATGCGGGGCTCGAGAGTTGGCCTTTAAAAATACCGACAAGTCGAAAGCTTGAAAAAAGAAACAAAACAACAGCAACAATAAGAAAACAGTTTCAAGCAACTCAGGGTTTCAGGCGCCCGCGGAGTGGGTGGGGGTGACAGGCTGGAAATTATGGGTCGCTTGGGCCCAAGAGTCAGGGGATCTGATTTGAACATTGTCTGGTGGAAGAAAACCCGACTTGAACTCTAGGTTTAATGGCCCAGTCAAGTAAGAACTGTAGGTGTGGAAACGCCTTTCCCTCTTTCCAGACTACACCATAAAATGTAATATTTGTGGGGGGTGGAGTGGAGTTGGGTGGAAGAGGCAATGGTGGGGGGGGGTGTATAGAGTCTGAGAGGGCAAAGAGGGAGGGGGAAGAGCAGAACAGGAGGAGAATTGACCAGGTCCTGAAAATTATAAAGAGCTAAGTAGAAGCCGCTGGGCGACCTTTGCAAAAACCTGGGCAGAAAACCCAAGGTCCAGAGCCACCGCTATTCTGGATAGAAACAAACAACAGCAATAACAACAACAACAACAAAAACTTGTTCGTGCTACCTCTGTTGCTACTACTACCATCGCTACAAAGTAAAAATAAAATGTACATATAGCTGTCTTGGCTGTTAAAACATAGTTAAAATATTCATAGTTACACTACAGACACATGGATTTATTCAAACCCCAGATTTCAAGTTCGAGAAGGCTACCTCTAAGCTAATATTTTATTTATTAAGAATTATCTACTAAACTTTGAAAACAGCTACTGCTTTATTTTAAATAAGACCCATCTCTTTCTCAACTTTTACATCAGGGGAGAAGCCCTTCAAGTGCGAGTTCGAAGGCTGCGACCGGCGCTTCGCCAACAGCAGCGACCGCAAGAAGCACATGCATGTGCACACTAGCGACAAGCCCTACCTTTGCAAGATGTGCGACAAGTCCTACACGCACCCCAGCTCTCTGCGCAAACACATGAAGGTAACGCTGCGGTCTGGCCATTCGCCTTGGAGCAGGAGCCCTTTCTGCGCTCCGGCCGGGGCCAGCCACTCTGGAGCGGCTTCGGCAGGGCAGCAGGAGCCGCAGGAGGCGGAAAAGCAAACGGTTTCACTCGGTTGAGAGGAGCTGGGCAGAAGGAGCAGGGGCGGGCAAGATAGCAGAACCAGAGGCCCATTAAACGGACTGTTTCATAATGAAAGTAAAAATAAGTGAGGAGACTCCGAGGCCGCGCTGTCAGAGCTGTGACTTCGGAGGCTGCTGCGGTAAGCGCCGCCATCGCTCCTGGTAACCGGGAGAAGGCGAGGACGCGTTCCTGAGCTCAGCTCTCAGCGTCTGCTCTCCTCCAAGTGGGCAGGCAAACTTCAGGAAGTGAACTTTGCTAGACTCTGGCCTGGGAAGCAGCCTCCCCCTTCCTAGTCCCCCTCCCCTTTTTTTCTTTTGTGAGTACCTCGGGCACGGTCTCCTCCGTGAGCGTGGCAACGCCGGGCCGAGCCCGGAGAACCAAGCCCAAGTCCCATTGACCCTGCCAACAGAGAGTCTGAGAGATCCCTAGCTTTGAAAGTAGCAGGGAGGGTTAGGGGAGGGGGCGCTCGGCAGGGGGAGGGAGAGCACAACCTTCATAGTCTTGGATAGCCTCTGGGCCCACTCTTTATCTGTGTTAAAATGCAACTTTATTCTCTCAGGTTCACGAGTCCTCTTCTCAGGGCTCACAGCCTTCTCCCGCCGCCAGCTCTGGGTACGAGTCGTCCACGCCACCCACCATCGTGTCTCCCACCACAGACAACCCGACCACCAGCTCCATGTCGCCCTCCTCCTCCGCGGTCCACCACACAGCCGGCCACAGCGCGCTCTCTTCCAATTTTAACGAATGGTACGTTTAAAAATCAGAAACAAAACATGCCAAACCCTATTTAAGAGACTGAACACACACGTACACACAATATAATTGAAAGAATCCTGAATATCCAAACACCCCTCGTACCGATCCCGCAAACGTTTGTTTCTTTTTGTTTTTAAATCCGCCGGTAAATCCAGGACTGAGTAAGACAGAGGAAACAGTAAGCCTTTAATTTTTTTTTAATTTTCATTTTCTTTCTTTTCTTTTTTCTTTCTTTTTCTTTTTTTTCTTTTTACTTTTTTTTTGGAAAAGGCTTGGTGTCTGAAGGGCGGGAGGGGGTGGAAGAGGAGGCGGCTGCCTGACCGAACACCGCCAAAGGCCCTGAGGGCCAATTTCTTGTTGGATCAGAACAAGCTCTCTGGGGCTGCAGCTTTTCTTTAGCTTCTTGTTTTACTTTCTTGTAAATACAGAATTATTAGCTTAAATCTGTTCTGTTGGATTCTGTATATAGCTACACCTCGGTTGAAGTGGGTGGGTGGGATCGTGGCGTGGTGGTCTTTGCATTGGGGAGGGGAGGGTGGGCGGGAGGGGGGAGGGGGAGGGGCGGGCGGCCGAAAGCCAACTGTTTGTACCGAATGGCGAGAATGTTCTAGTAAATGTGTACCAAAATGTGAACTACTTTGTACGATTACAGTCTCCACGTCGACCTAACAGAATATTATTGATATTAATGTGCTTTTTTTTGTATAAAGTGCAAACATTTCGTCCCAAAGTCTGAGTACTTTAGTGCAGTAAAATGTTGTTTCATGTCCTGTCAACAATTCGTATAGTATGAGCCTGGATCTACGTGTCAAATTGTTTCATTTGTTTATGTAAAGTGATATTAAAAAAGATATAAACTATAGCTGTCCATTGCTTTTTGGCAAAATATACAACCACACAATGTATATAATTCCTAGTTTCCATATTTATCCGCATGTAAAGGGCCCGGTTTACCCATGTTACAGCTATTCAATATTTATGGCTAGAAAAAAAAAAACCTCGTATGTACACTTTAGTTTCCAGAACTGTTTGGTAATCTTTCGTACCTTATTAAAGATTCTTAAATCTCAGTGATTGTGGTAGGAATTTCTTCTTCACACCCTCTCCCCTCCCCCGCCCCCCCCCCCCCCAGCAACCTGTGCCAGCCTTACTGGATCTTCGGAAAGCTCTCCAGCCTTTCTTGCCTTCTTTTCTGTCATTGCAGGTCATATAAACTTGATAAATGAACGCTACCCTGCTGGCTCTCCGAGAGGGTGTAATTAGTATTTATATCAAAATTTATGAAACAAATTTTCGGCCTCAGTATAATTTAAATGACCTTTGCAGACATAGAATAACAACCATAAAAATAACGGAAATAGATTGCACAGGCAACATCAATATTAATGTAAGCGAATTGTGAGAAGCTCGGGGGCTATCTCTGTAGCCTTAAAAATGAACTTGCAGTCATTCAAGAGTTCAGCTGCCCCCCTCCCCAATTAAATTCCCTGGTCTGAAACTGGATTGCAGATTTACAATATTATATTTTAAATTGCTGTCTTCAATTAAACCATTATGGCCATAACTAATTTTCAGGATGCCGATGCATGCTTTTCCAGGCCTTCCATCTTTGTACAAAAGTAAATGTCCATAAAGCGTTTCACTTATATTTTTCAAACATGATGCTAATTTAAATTAATTACTTCTTATGATATATTATTATTTCTATAATTTTGCTACTGTCATTAGTTCTCTCAAAAATACATCTAGAAAAGAGAATTATTTTATGTAATGTGATTATCTTTCTATCTCTTTTATTTATTTCTCATTTACTTAAGAAATTCGTTCCATTGGCTGGCGTTGATACAGTAAATTTGTAAATGAGGAGACAATATAAAAAATCTAAATTACTTGTGCTTAATGACTGTGGCAGAACGCCTTTTCTCTAAATCAGATTGTCTTTCTTGCAGTTTAGTTTGATAGATTTGCAAGCTATGCTGCTTTGGTGAAGTTAGGTTCTCTGGTAGGGACGCTGGTTTCTTTGTCTCTGGTTGTCGCTTGCATGATCGCCCCATTAGGCAGACAACGTAGCTAGAACTCACAAATCAGGCCCTTGGCTATGCCTGCAAGGGTGTGGATGTGTTAGAAGTCAGGGGAAGCATGTTTTGCTTCTCAACTGTCCTCTGTATGTCCGGGAAGTTACAAGCCTAAGAACAAGAACCTCTTAAGAGCTTAACATGTGTCTCACAGCAATAGCAACTTAAGAAATATCAATGGCTAATTATAAAATAAAAATGGTATACTCTTTAAAGCCACTTCTTGCTATTTGTACTTCTGATGTTTAGTCAACAAAGTCTTGTTTACTAATAAAAGGCTTTGCTGCATTTAATATGCCACATTTTTTTTAATAGAAAAAGGTAGGAATATTGATGCTTAACTGTAAAGAAACATTGTTCTGTTTATTGGCCTTTCATGAAAAGAGCGCCACCTTGCAAAATTTGTTGAGATTTTAAAAAGTTGAATACCTAAGCAAGAGTTGCTGTTAACTCTAAACATTGGTGAGATCAAAACCCTGGTCTTGGTAGCTTCGGAAGTTTCAGATTGATTAACAGTGCAGTATTTAAAATGACAGCAGACACTGAGCCCAACATTAAATTCAGAAGGAAGGGTAGAAATAATTCATCTTCCTAGGAAAAGCAAAAACTCCATTAATAACTTCTTCCCCTTTCTGTTGAATATGAGGTTTTCTGGGACCCTGATGTGAATATGATGATAGTTTTGCCAGCAGTTTTGTGATTTTTCTCAGAGTATTTGAGAAGACAGCTTATTTGAGTATGTCTAAATTAAGTTTACTTCCAATGTGAAATTCTGTCTGATTGCTATGTACCCAATGGCCTTTTGCTTTACTATCATAGTGTGATAATTAAATATTGCACGATGACAGATGATTTATATAGAATATTTAAAAATACAGTTTAGAAATATGTGTTTTCTTTTTCCAAGTTTCAAATATTCTCATAGATTTTTAAGGTCAAATAATTTTATTACCACTTGAGAAGCCCTCTGTATGTATTTATGAATAATCTCACAGCAAAGGAACTTTTATAATAGATGACAACATTTATGTCAATCCCCTCTTTGCATTGTTTCCTCCAATGCCCACTACAAAGAAAAAGTCATTAATGATGTAAGTCACCAAAATAATGCTTTAAACTTAAATGTAGTCTATTATTTTCCTTGCACCTTTAATGTCTGCTTCTTGAGATGTATTCTTCATACTTTTCTTCATGGGCTATTAGGTTTTGAAATACATGAATGTGAACAGAGAAATATATTGTTAGACTCTATTTAGCAGGAGCCGAGGATGCTGCAAATGGCTGGTTTCTATGTGTAGTTGTGGATTTTGATCGAGGCAGAAGGCCATACTGGTTCATGTTGCACACTGCTTTGTATTCTGGATACTATCAAATGATTAGGACAGCTAACAAGTTATTAAAATGTTATTTTGTGTCAACAGAAGATGCCTGAGTACAAGCATTCTTTTGAGAAATGAAGAGGAATGAGTTTGGTGTGTGTGTGTGTGTGTGTGTGTGTGTGTGTGTGTTGCATTCAAAGAGCAAGCATACAAACCCACAAGCACCATTTATATGGGGGCTATGTAATTCTCAAATTTTCAGATCCTTTGTTTTCTTCTTCAAAAGCTACCCCCAGCTGCTTTAAGCATTTGCAGCTGATGATTTTGATTTTTTAAAGTCAAGCATTCAAGTTAACCTTTAAGAAGCAAACCACCTCTAAAAGAAAGATGTAACCTTTCAATTGCCTTATTTATTTATTTATTCATATATTTTTTTATTTAGCTTTAACTGACAATGAAAATAGCACTAACCTTCTTTCCTGATGGGCTTGGCATTTAGATATTTTTATTTGTTGATTGTGAAGTTTTCTCAGAACTTTGAAAGGCTTATCAACAACAGTACACTGCCCAAAGTCTTACCCACCTCCTCAAATGTTTTGAAGCACCAGTTTGGAGGCCAAGGTGTAATTAGTGCACAGGACCCATTGCTGGTAGACTTGGTACCTGAACAAAGTCTCCAAGAAGTGACTTTGAGAAAACCTTGAATCTTAAAGATGGATTGAGTGTAAGTTCACTTTGAGAGGTAACTGCATGTGGCCTGGCATACTTAAGGGGAGGCACTGGGTTTATTCCCTTAGCTAGTCTAGATGTGGAGATGTGTTTATTCCTTAGTTGGTCTAGATGTGAAAACATCAGATTTCACACTTCTACTTCTCCAACTTAAAATGCTAACCACTCACATTTGGTATAGAGGTCTAAATCCCAGTAACATCAGTTGTAGTTTTCGGAACTGTGTTCTCACACCAAGAAGAAAAGGTGTTTTTATAAAGATGCTCAGACGTGGTATCATCTTGTACTTTTGAGTTATTGAAAATAGAGTAGCAATGGAATGATTGGTCCTGTCTTACCAGTCCAGACACTAAAGGCCTACCTAACCCATAATATTTTTCTTTTAAATGTTAAAGAGAAAAATGTTACCCCACGGGCTGTAACATGTGCCCATTTAAACATAATTGTAGAATATAAATTTTTTTTGGAGGGGCTGGTGATCATATAGCATTCTATTTTCAATAGATAGTTACTAAGAAAATTTAGACAAGCAATAGCAATGTTGAATTATAGCTTATATTCAAGACTTTCAAAGTCTATTGAAAATATAATGTTCTATGCACACAAAATATGAGTAACGCTGGCCTTCACTCTATCAGGGGTTGATCGGTTTAGTATCTCTCCCCCAGCAATAGGAAATACATGATGTGAACTGGGGCTGCTTTATCCTACAAGGTGGAATGGTCATCAGCTCCTCGTTAGAGTCTCTAAATGATGAATTAGAATGGGGTTCTCAGGGTTGGGAATTTAGCAATTTAGTACAGAAACTATGCTTGCTAATGGTGGTGTGACAGTCTATACATTGAATTCTGATTGCTTCCAGTAGCCGAAAGATTTTTCTGTAGCTGGCTCAGGAGAATATACAAGTTGTGGAAACTACAGAGAGACCCAGCCACATGCAGCACAAACCCAAGTCAACTACTGAACGTGATGAACACACTGTAACCATATCTTCAACAACAAACTCGCTGTAAAGCATTAGGCCTGAGCAAATATATAAACATATATATATACACACACACACATATATATATATATATGTATATATATATAGTTTGTGCGTGTGTGTGTGTGTGTGTGTAACTATTTCCAATATAAACCTCAAAAAATCTGAACATAAACCTTGAGTAAAGCTCAGATTACAATCTTTACTTTTTTTTTTTTTAAACCTTGTCTAACCGGGAAATTTTTAGCCTCTGACAAAGAAATTGAAGTTGCAAAAGAGAAGAAAACCAAGATTAAAAGATGGGATAGTATTTGTTGACAGAGACATTTTTTTTTCTAGGAAGATATTTTGAAAGTATGGTATCAG